AATAATGACAACTGCAACAAAAAAATAACTGGGTGTTGTGGTGGGCACCTGTAATCCCACCTACTTGGGAGGCTGAGGCAAGAGAATCGCTTAAGGCCAGGAGTTGGAGGTTGCTGTGAGCTACGATGCTACAGCACTCTACCAAGGGTGACAATGAGACTCTGCCTCAAAAAAATATATAGATAAGAAAATAAATAAATAAGCCAGAAAAAAATTCTAAGAACTACAAACCTATACATAGTTTGGAGGCACACTTAGCCCATAAAGACACTCCTTACACTAGAAGTTATTTGCCTTTTCCAAAGAAATCCCTCACGGATAGAGAAAGTTTGAAGTTCCAAAAGGTACATCGATGGGGAAAAAACCACCTATTTGAGCAGGTCTAAATAAAAGGTGCCGATTGTTGTTACGGACAGACTCTAGTTGCTTTCTGAAAACAAGAGAGATAATTACCTCCGTTGCAAAGCAGGTAACTGTCCTTGATGATGCCAGGTTCCTGAAATGAGATGTCAGAGGTAGAAGGCAGCTTCCGAGCTATTTCTAGCAGACCCACCACCACCCAACACACTGAACAGAGAATACTAGGCTCAAATATTCGTCCAACGTAATCCCGTCATCAGCCGGGAGCGAGGCTGAACTTGTGTAGCCCAGCTCCAAGCCAGGGCTCTGCACCCTCACCCTTCTCATTCCCAGATGGGATGGGCGGGTCGGGAGGAGGAGCGACGGGCTCAGAGATGGACTCGCAACTCTAAGACATACAGACAACATAGACGCAAACAGGCCTGCCTTACTTTCCTAAAGCTGCATCCTCTCGTGAGGGGAGAGGAGCGAAGGAGCCCTGCTTCGAGGTGGAAAGGCAGCCACCTGGGCCTGCCCAGGCTCAGCGCCAGGACTCTCGGAGGCCCCGCCTCCCGGGGACCTTCCACATTGATCGGCGCTTCCGCGACGCAACCCGAAGGGCGGGGGCCGCCGAGGGAGTGACTGTCTTAGATGTCCAGCGCACTGCCTGATCCGAGGTAGGGACCCGAGTGGTACTCCTCCTTCCAATCTGTGGCTGGAAGCACGTCATAGAAAGCGAAGGAAGCTCGATTAGTCGGCTGGGCCGCGGAGCTGGGTCGATAGCGCCGTGCAAGGCGCGGAAGACCTCCGGGCCGCGGGCGCTTGTCACTGCCCGCCCCTTCCGGCTCCTCCCTGTGGTGCGTAGGACGCAGGAGCCGAGGCGCTCGGAGCCATCGCGGCGAGGACCATGTTGCTTCCGAACATCCTGCTCACGGGTCAGGGCGCGCGGCCGAGTGGGGCTTGACTGCGGGTCAGGCAAGGGGTGCTGACTGCTCTGCGGCCTCGGGCGCCCCGGCGGGGCCCCGCTCAGGGTTCTGTTTCGAGGCTGGCGGAGGGTTGCGGGGCGGGACGGTTGTCAGGACCTCGGGCGCCGGCCTTCGAGAACGTCGCGAGGCGAGGGGAGGGGTGCGAACGTTAATTCCGTTGGCCGGAGGCTGCTCGGTGAGGCCGAGAGGTAGATGAATCCAGCTCCGCTTTCTGGCAATCTGCTTAATCTCTCAGAATCTGGCCTTTTGTTTGTAAGATGGGTCGTTGATTCTTTGGCCGGATTGGTTGTGATATTTTTAGCGAAATAACATAAAGCAGATTCTGCCCCTTATTGATCTACGCTTTGGGCTGTATTTTATTTTCCTTTGCTTCTGAAAAACGCTTCCCAGATCAGATCTTTGTAGCTGAGTTAAAACATAACTACTTTGCTGTGTACGTTTATCTAGTTAGCATCAGAGATTCTTTTTGTGTTGTTGTTGTTTACTTTTAGTTAAGTCAGCTTTCTAGTGAGCGTTTTCGGTGGTTTCTCGTGTAGGGATGCGGTAAAGTTCCCGGGAGAACGTGCGGATTATTCTGGGTCTTGGAACCATATTCATGGTGCCGTGTTACCAAGGAAGGGAAGTAAAGAGCTGCATAGCAACTTGAAAGAAGAGTTTTTGCTGGCCATTTAGCCTTGAAAATGTTTATTAAATTGTAGCAATTATAGTATTACAAGCCATTCGTGGAAAAATCTAATGGGCGTGGAGCTGTTGCAACATACCGAAAAATTAAGGCACTATTTGTTGAAGCGAAACAAAGTTTTATCTTTTGGCAAGACTTAAGGTGGATGGCAGGGCACAAATCCTGTCTCTGAAAGCTGCAGGTTAACCACCTAACAAATACATATTTAGCCTTGAAGATTCCATAGGGAAAGAGTTAACGACATCTTATTTGCATGAGTCAGACACAGTGTTTTTTAATAGTCAAATAGGCAAATCATATTGTCAGAACTCTTAGAGTGAACATTTTGTTGTAAGCTGTTGAGTCCAGGGTTCAGACTTGGTGTATTATAGTGGTATTGAGGCCAAATGTTACTCAATTTCATAGTAAGACATATTCCTGCTATTTTTAATTATACTCAAAATTATAATAGAGTGGCATTAAACCTAAATACCTGAAAATTATGTATTTGATTATCTTGGAATATAGTTGTAATAGGTATAAAAAAAGAGAAGGTAAAGAACACTGGGGAATATTTGTTGTATTTACATATGTATATACACATAGAATGTTCATGTGTTCACATACATATGTGAGTGTACATGCATAGGATTTCTTAGGAAAGATACCTGTATGAGAAACAGGTTTACAGTTATTGCTTCTAGAGAAGGTATAAGGGGTCAGTGATTGTAATGAGAAAATATTAATTAAAGCAAATAAATGATTGTAATTTACTGGAGACAACTAATTTTAGACTGGGCAATTCCATGGTGGTGGCAGGCAGTCTGACTTGGCATCAAAATCTCCCAGCCCCTGGAGTATCAGATACACTGGGTGAGATTCGATTCTGATAATCCATTTGGCTCTTGGGGATTTTTACTAGGCAGTAATGTATATTCATACATGATTGATAATTAGGAAATTTTTCATTTTAGTTGTCAGGAACTTTAAGAAGGATAGGAGGTGGCTTCAGTCTATGAAGTAGTATTTCAAAAATAGTCAAATTTTTCTGTGGCTTGTCTTACAGGTACACCTGGGGTTGGAAAAACCACACTAGGCAAAGAACTTGCGTCAAGATCAGGACTGAAATACATTAATGTGGGTGATTTAGCTAAAGAAGGTAAGGGACACTTTGGTGTTAGATTTGTTGTTCTTTTAAAAAAAAAGTTGGATAGTGGAGTATTAATAGTAAGTGTTGTGAGAGGCTGTAAGAAAAACAGAAAACAGAGATTACCACCGAAAATTATGCTTTGTTGGGCATCCACAGAAATAGAAAATACTGAGTTCAGTGTCTTGATTATTTTGACCACCTGCCCCCCCATATGACTAGAAATTCTGGTGAATAGTAATAATTAGGAAGGTTTTCATGATGAGATTGGATTTAGGATCGTAGAATTTGAATGAAGAAGGAGAATGTTTTTAATTTGGACAAATGCTAACTAAGCTTTGGGTAGTGCTAAGCATATGTTATTAGGACGGTGAGTATATTGATCTCACTGGACAGATTGTTTTGAAGTCAGATAGTAGGACATGACCGTCCTATGGTATCATCTAAAATAAGTTTGGTAATTGCATGCAGCTGCAATATATTATAAAGTGATAAGTATTTTTACATATTTTACCCTGTTTTCCCCTAATCTCTTGACACTCCCTTATTTGTGTCTTCATCTTTTTATATTCTGTGATGATTTGTTCAGGGTAGGAACTCAATAAATTTAAGTAAAGCCTCATTAAAATTAAAAAGATTTAACTATGGTTTAAATTTTAAATATTTTTTTAAAATTTAAGATATATTTACGTTTTTTTAAAGTTCCTGACAGTTGCTACTTAAGTAACGATTTCAGATTGATCTAATGTACATATTTTTTTCAAATGATCTAAAGTCTGATCACCGGATATCATGGAGTCTGGCAAGATGGCTTCTCCCAAGAGCATGCCGAAAGATGCACAGATGATGGCACAAATCCTGAAGGATATGGGGATTACAGAATATGAACCAAGAGTTATAAATCAGATGTTGGAGTTTGCCTTCCGATATGTGACCACAATTCTAGATGATGCAAAAATTTATTCAAGCCATGCTAAGAAAGCTACTGTGGATGCAGATGATGTGCGATTGGCAATCCAATGTCGCGCTGACCAGTCTTTTACCTCTCCTCCCCCAAGAGATTTTTTATTAGATATTGCAAGGCAAAGAAACCAAACCCCTTTGCCATTGATCAAACCATATTCAGGTCCCAGATTGCCACCTGATAGATACTGCTTAACAGCTCCAAACTATAGGCTTAAGTCTTTACAGAAAAAGGCATCTGCTTCTGCAGGAAGAATAACAGTTCCTCGGTTAAGTGTTGGTTCAGTTACTAGCAGACCAAGTACTCCCACACTAGGCACACCAACCCCACAAACCATGTCTGTCTCAACTAAGGTAGGGACTCCAATGTCTCTCACAGGGCAAAGGTTTACGGTACAGATGCCTCCTTCACAATCCCCAGCTGTAAAAGCCTCAATTCCTGCAACATCAGCAGTTCAGAATGTTCTGATTAATCCATCCTTAATTGGGTCCAAAAACATTCTTATTACTACTAATATGGTGTCATCACAAAATACTGCCAATGAATCCTCCAGTGCATTGAAAAGAAAGCGTGAAGAAGATGATGATGATGACGATGATGATGATGACTATGATAATTTGTAATCTAGCCTTGATGCATGTAACATGTATATTTGGCCTGAATCCATTGTACTGAAATTAAACATGCATGCTGGATGTCTTCAAATTGTGTTTTAGAAAACTTAAATAATATTTAATGAGTAAATATAGTTACTATGCTTTTCAACTGAAATGTTGGATTTTCTTTAGTAGGATTAGGTGTGGTTTTTCATCAGCTTTTAAGTGTAAAAAATAAAGTTGTCATTCATGAATCTGATTGTTGGTACTTGACAATTATGTTTTTAAAAGCAATTTCCCCCTCATTGTCACCAACAGGCATAACAGTTGAAGCAACTTGAAGTTGTTGCAGTCTTTTCATTACCAAGAGAGTGTCACTTCTAGTATCAGATATTTGGGTCATAGGGTGATCTCTAGTATATAAGTCACTCTTATTTTCTGTTCCCTAAGATTATGAAGTATAACCATGACTGGTTATACCAAGTGGGCACGTGGTCAAGATTCATATCCATAGTGAATCCCCATCTGCTTTAACTTTCTTCAGTTGCCCACTTCCATTTTTTTATACCTTTGGTTTTTAAGGACCATTCATATCTCCTCCACTGTTTTTTAAAAAAAAAAATATATATATATATATAGCAGGTTAATTTGAGTACCTTTCTCATTCTATAAATCAGTATTGTGTTCATTTTTAATCCAAGTTTGGCAGTTGGGTTATTTATTTATTTATTTATTTGAGACAGAGTGTCACTTTGTTGCTCTCAGTGGAGTCACAGCTCATAGCAACCTCAAACTTCTGGGCTCAAGCCATTCTCTTGCCTCAGCCTCCTGAGTAGCTGGGACTACAAGTGCTCACCATGACACCCAGCTAGTTTTTATATTTTTAGTAGAGGTGGGGTCTTGTTCTTGCTCAAGGTGGTCTCTAACTCCTGA